ATCTATCTATCTATCTATCTATCTATCTATCTATCTATCTATCTATCTATCTATCTATCTATCTAATCCATCAGTATATAAGGGCTCCACATATTGTTTTGGATATTATTATCCAAAACAATATGTGGAGCCCTTTTTTGTGGGTTGCATGGATCTGGTCTGTAGAGCCATTTTTGGTACAGTGACAACATTAAACTGATACCCAGCCATGCTTTCCAGCTCATTGGCAGGCCAGTCATCCCTGCCTACTGGTCACTGGGATTCCAACTTTCTCGGTGGGACTACGGGAACCTGACTGAAGTCAAGACAACTGTGCAGAGAAACCGTGCCGTGAGCCTCCCATATGTAAGATACAGTCTACATGGTCACTTGCTCTTTTATAGTCTATTAAATCAGACAGTGTTTATTCTGTTAATTGTGGTTTTGTTTCGGGATAAATGAGATAAGGAAAAAACTAAAAACTGCTCGAATGTTGCTCGAGTTTCCAGGGTACAAAATAATAACCATATGCAAACCAGGCTTCCACGTGTACATAATGAATAGATGTTTGTTTAAGCATGCCATTGAGCTAAGCTAACAAGACCCTTTTGAAAACAATAAAGACAGAAGTGGAGCAGGGCCAGTGAAACAGGAACAAAGATCCCAAAGCTAACAGACATAGAAAAACATGAACAAAAGAAACCCAAATCAACACCAAAATCAAAACTAAAAACCCATGACAGCCACAGCATTGTGTTGTGTACCTTATCCTCTCACGTTTAAAACTTTGCCATGCATATAATCAACTTTAAGTACGTGTGATAAATAATAATCATGCTTCTTTTACATGATTTACAATCCCAATATAAGTAAATGATAAACTGTCATTATGTTTGATGCAATGCTGAGTGTGAAACTTTATTACACAACCACTTCTCTTTTCTGATTCGAGTTTGCTTTTACAATTCATGGTAATAATTTTATTTTCTTTTYCAACCCCTAAAAATCAGGGACCTTCAAAGTTTTCATCACACAAAATAAAGACATAATGTGCTTCCCCTTATTTAAAGTTTCATCTGCCTATTCACTACTATGTATTTCAGAGGCAATAGTGTCAACCACCATACTATCTGTGAAGACATAATATGAAGGTTGAAGCAGGAACTCGACAGACAGAGTGATAGGAATGGCCTTTAGCTTAGATTGGGTAATCCAGCTCTCTGTCAAATAATGAAAAGTCTGCTGGGCTGTATAAGTTCAACCCCGGAACCACCATTTTTCAGGCGTCACTGAATGTTAGTGCTGATCAAAGATCAATTGACCAGGCTTCTTTTATTATCTCATTCATCCTGATCTGAATGTTAAAACTTTGCTCCCAACARGTTGTTGCTCCTGAACCCAGTGATAAAAATCAGTTCTGGCTGACATTTTCAGTAAAAAATTCTCACCACTTATCTTTGTCATGGCTGTGAAAGTAAGTAACTGTGAGAAGTCCCTTTCATCATGAAAAAAAAGACATGTGGTGTACTTATTTTGCTCTTATTACCAAAGCAAACTTTATTCCACTCTTTACACACTCTGTAAAACACTCACATGTCACATCACAGTTGTGAATGTGCCAATCAAGAACTTGGTATGAGCGCTCTGTTATTTAAAAACCAAATGCCAAGGAATTGCCCACCCATCTCTGTGCTCCTCTCTGATAATCTCAGATCCCTTTTTCATATCCAGAACATTAGGCTGCAGCTGCTCCTTCTCCTGTTGTACTCAGGGATATGTATGATAACTAACAGATAGGCCACACTGGGTATTATCACATTCTCCCTAATGTGGCTGGAGCTGATTACCATTAGTGGAAAGATCTGGCAGAGTCTTTCAATCCATCTGCTCGAATGATATGAAGAATAATTTGGCAGGCAACATACAGAAACCAAGCAGAAATTCACACCCTGGGAAAAAAGAAGAAGAAGAAGAAGAAGAAGAAGAAGAAGAAGAAGAAGAAGAAGAAGAAGAAGAAGAAGAAGAAGAAGAAG